TTTCCCTTTCAGGGGTGGGGGAGGAGGTTAACAGAGAGCATCTGTTATGGTTCTGGGGGCTGCCCTGACCCCAAACCACCATAACACGTCACATACCACCATACAAAAAGGCATCTAAAACTCTCCAGGAGTAAAATAAATGCTCTTTCTAGGTCAATATCCATACTCTAGTCAGTAAAATTGGTATAAGTGCACTAGAACAATTACACAGTCCGATTAACTCCAGATTGTCCACACTGCTTATAGGAAATCATTGTGCAAATTCTACCCACCACATTACACATCAGAGCAACTACTTAGTACTTACTTTCTTATTAGACCTAAGGAAACTTTAAAGAGAAAGCCATCTTGTCCAATTACTCCCATTCCACTTGATCTTCCACTGCCATCTATACAGACCATCTCTGGTTCCATGTCTTTATTTGCTACAAGGAATCGACCATAAATAAGATCTCCCACCTAAACAAAAGTGTGAAAAAGCAAAAGCAGTCAGGAAGATTACACTGCACATTTGTAAAAAATACTCACTTGATAAAGATCCTCTCCACAAAATGAGACCACAAAACATTTTTAGAATATTAGTGATAGAAGAATAAATGGGTATAATAGGAATTTTCACTTTCTTTTCTACTAAAGGCAACAGTCCCTAGGAACAATTATCTTGTAGCAGTACTGGAATTTGAAAGATAAAAAACTACAGAATTTTATTTCATGGAACAATTATGTTTTCTTAAAAAATACCAAACATTAATTTATCTTTCTTCATACTTTAAGGGTTTTAAAACTCTAAACAATCTGCTCTTGTAATCATTTACCAGGAAGACGACAGCAACAAAATCACACTACCCTATTTTTTCTTTACAGTCTCATTTTATATTCTAGTGATGGCATTTCGGTTGAATACAGAAACTGTGGCATCTACACACCACATAACTATTTACAAAGAGGTTATTAAAAAAAAAACATTTTCTACCAGTATCAGTGTAAAAGCCTGTTTTATAACCTTAACTTCACAGTGTCCCCTCGAATGCACATTGCTCATGAATTGCACCTGATGCTGGCAGTATTACAGGAAATTTAGAATGTTGAGATCGTGAGAAAATCCAATACCTGACAAATGCTGAACGAAATTAGCTACACATCCTCTTAAGAAACATCAGAAAACTCTCAGCCCAGTCCTGCAGAAACCTCCGAGGAGGGCCAACAGGAAGTCACTGCAAGTAAACCTTCGCTCCCACGTTTATAAAAGGCTTATAAAAACACTTTTACGGAACCTACTGAAGGGTACCAGAAGCACCACCGTAAGACACCGCTAACAAGCAAGAGCAATAACCTGCACATTGGGCCTGTTCCTCTTCGTGGCGCCTTCGAAAGCCAAGTAGGACAGCGACGCCAGCTCGCTTCCTCCGACGTCCAGCTTAAACACGTCGCCCGCCTTGGCCGTCACGATCCCGATGACGTGGTCGCCCCTGACCGGAACGTACTGCAAAGGGCGGCGGAGCGCACCCGGGTCAGGGGGCGCGGACGGCCCGGGGCCTCCCCCTACGCC